AGACTCAGTTATGGGCTTACCACCAACAACGGCACTGAAAACGATTCTTTTCTTGGTAGGCACCGCCTTCTTGCTTTGTCTTGAAAGAAAGTTGAAACGTCTGTCAGCGAACTAGCTTCATCGCCGTCATCTTTTTCGCCATTCGACTTAAAAGCTTGTTTAAAGACTGTGGACGGGGCAAAGTTGATATTGGAAGTGGTTGACTTGTCCAATGGATGGATTCCACATTTCCGGAAAGAAGACTGTAAATTAGAAGAAATGAGTGAGAGATTTAGGCCTTGCATGCTACTTCACAAATCGAGTGTTTGTCAATTGATAGGTTGGTTTGTTGTTTAAAGCGCACTCCGCAATGTTCCAGCTATACGACGGCGGTCTGTAAAATAATCGAGTCTGGAACAGACAATCCGGTGATTAATATCATGAGCATCGATGACATGCATCAACCAAGTCAGCGAGCCTGACCACCCGATCCCGTTAGTAGTCGCCGTTTACGACAAGCATAGTCACCTTTTACGGTAAGCATGGGTTGCTGAAGACCTATTCTACCCCGGAATCTTCACGGGTCGTCATGGTATTGAAATGTGTTTGCGTTTAACACACACATTACAACTCATAGGTTGGTAGAAATCAGAGAAGAGGATCAAGCTAAATTTGTCAATGCAATGCCATACCTTCGAGACCCGTGAAGATTCCGGGGTAGAATCTGTGTTCAGGCGAAGCTCCTTCTCGCAAAGTCTGCCACAGAAGTATTCAGACCTCGTCAAACAGAAAAACAAACTTATGGGCAGACATATAGAAACAACTTCTCACATTTGTGAAAAGCAATACGTGTCTTCTTTGAAACTCTCCCTCACGATGATGACTATGAAGAGAATCAAGATGAGGAAAAAGACTATTTTAATGAGAGCGACTTGACGTTTTAAAAACCAGAATAAAAGATGTGAATGTGCTGTGTATTTTGCACAGCGGCAGCACAATGTATTTCTGATGGTATATTAAGGTTTATGAATTCATGATGTTATACTGTTCAGATATTTTCTTGTCCGAATTCCAATACTTGTTGCCATTAATGCTTAGTTTGTTTTGACAGAACTCATGATTTAATTTAAAGAGTGTTGAAGGATTTTGGAGGCAGAGCAAAGGGACTGAGTTCTTTGTATTTTATTTTTATCAGGGATAGCTCAAAGCAGTAGCAAAAGTATTAATTTGAAGTTTGTGTTTGTTTTTGAATAGGGCCCGTAAGTCTCGCGAAGCGCTACTTCCTGTACCAGCATTTCCGGTGACATCGGTTCTTTGTCATTCATGAAAGGTTTATTGGTTCCCAACTGACAACCATAGGATCGTTCGTAAAGGTATATGTGTTTTCTTTACCTTTAAAATAATTAACAACCAGCTCGTGCGGTACTATCGTTCAGACATGTATCCGTGGACAATGGTTTATGATTACGAGGATGTGGCACATGTTTCTGTGATGTTAGAATATTTATGAAGATGTTACTACTAATAGGTAGGCCACATTACCCAACTTACCGTGGTATTCTTGTATCTGACAGCATGAGCAGTGTCATGGAAGCCGTGCCTTTGACAGTTTGAATAGGCATTAAATTATTAGGCAATATTTGGGGGATGAAATTTGGAAAATCTATACTATCAACATATTTTTAAAGTATGTTTTTTATGAAGGAGGGTTTGATGCAATGTAGAAAGCGTGTGCATAAATTGTTGTGTAATTATCAAAATTAGTTTCTATATTAAATGTGAATAGATATAATAACATGCAGAGTTATTATTACTTGCACTTTGGTAGGCTTGCACTAACGTTTTACTCTCATCTACATGTACAGGAATACTTGCCGTAAAAGGTGACTATGCTTGTCGTAAAAGGCGAATGACGGGATCGGTTGGTCAGGCTCGCTGACTTGGTTGATGCATGTAATCGATCCCAATTGCGTGGATCGATGCTCATGATATTCATCACTGGATTGTCAGACTCGATTATTTACAGACCGCCGTCATACAGCTGGAATATTGCTGTGTGCGGCGTTAAACAACAAACCAACCCACCAACATGTACAGGATGGCTCGAGAAGATCCGGGGTAGAGAATGGATCTTCAGAACCCATATGCAATATTTATTCAGTATCATGGCTGATACCATAAATATTAAAAGAAACCTTTCTGTTGTATGGCATTATCCACACTTAAAAACAATAAATAAGCTTTAGATTTATTCGACCCGTGAAGATTCCGGGTAGAATAGGTCTTCAGCAACCCATGCTTGCCGTAAAAGGCGACTTTGTTTGTTGTAAAAGGCGACTAATGGGATCGGGTGGTCAGGCTCTCTGAATTGGTTGATGCATGTCATCGATCCCAATTGCGTGAATCGATGCTCATGATATTCATCACTGGATTGTCTGGTCCAGACTCGATTATTTACCGACCGCCGTCATAAAGCTGGAATATAGCTGAGTGCAGCGTTAAACACCAAACAAACAAACAAATCATAGGCGACTAACGGGATCGGGTGGTCTGGCTCGCTGACTTATCAAAACGTTTTGGGACACATGTGCTTCGAGGTCTTTTTTGTCTTCTTTGTAGAAGGGGCCGGTATATGGTGCAAAACAGGCGAAAACGAAAAGTATTACTTGTCATTTCTGCACAATTTGTCATATCTTGAGACCTTGTTTCGGTCCAAAAATCATTTGAATCCGAGAAAAAGTTTTATTTAGGTAATAGAGCAGATCCGGGGTAGAATAGGTCTTCAGCAACCCATGCTTGCCGTAAAAGGATAGATGGATGGATGGTTTGTTGTTTAACGCAGCACTCAGCAATATTCCAGCTATATGACGGCGGACTGTAAATAATCGAGTGATTGATATCATGAGCTTCGATGACATGCATCAAACAAGTCAGCGAGCCAGACCACCCGATCCCGTTAGTCGCCTTTTACGACAAGCATAGTCGCCTTTTACGGCAAGCATGGGTTGCTGAAGACCTATATTCTACCCCGGAATCTTCACGGGTCTGCCGTAAAAGGCGACTATGCTTGTCGTAAAAGGCGACTAACGGGATCGGGTGGCCAGGCTCGCTGACTTGGTTGATGCATGTCATCGGTCCCAATTACGTGGATCGATGCTCATGATATTAATCACTGGATTGTCTGGTCCAGGCTCGAATATTTACAGACCGCCGTCATATAGCTGGAATATTGCTGAGTGCGGCGTTAAACAACAAACAAACAAACCTATTTAGATGTATTCAGTATTTTATTACCAGATCATGATTACTCTCAAAATATTAAAATTCTTGGCAAATATTCCCAAAAGCCAAGCCTGAACAAATAACTGTGCCAGTCGAGTCCCAAGATGTTCTGCAACACCATGTTGATGACAAGAAGTTCCTATTCCAGCAAGTGTCCAGTGTACATGGTGTATTCTGATGGTCACAGAAATCATTTACAGAACCAGTACTTCAGATAGGACTTTAATATGTTTACAACTGTAGACACAACAAGAGCTGTTCTTTCATAGGCAATGTATTGCTTGACCACAAAATATTCAAAGAAATCTGAAGATCTGTTACAGTCCGAGATGCTTTCTTCCCCAAACATGGAAAGCTGGGTCCAACTGCAAAAGATAGATAACTCTTATGAGAACATATAACATATACTTCTTAAAACCAACATCAAGATATAATAAATAAATTAAGCATGTACATTGTATCTTCAACTGAATATTCTAAACAAATGCTAAATGGGGTTGTAATGATCAAGTCTATTCACGTTATACAGAATGCATTTAAGTGAGGTCACCTTTCAGAGATCTTAAAAACAAACACTGCACTTACGAATTAGATTAATAGTTTGTTTGTGAAAGATTTAGTGTACATAACATTATCATCATGATATTGGCACATATCTTCTTTTTTTCTTAATACCAGTGACCATATCTATTTTATTATGGTCTCTGTTAACACAGGCACCCCTATAAGTCTCTTTGAAAAAACGTTATTACTCAGATAGAGTACAAATATTGACAAAAAATCATAACAATTTATATTGCCAACATGCACTCAATAGGCCTTCTTATGACTATAGTTTGTCATCTCCCATAGACCCATAACTATAATTCTGTGTTATTGCACTCAGTGGATCGATGCTCATGCTGTCAATAACTGGATTGTCTGGTCCAGACTCGATTATTTACCGACCGCCGTCATAAAGCTGGAATATAGCTGAGTGCAGCGTTAAACACCAAACAAACAAACAAATCATAGGCGACTAACGGGATCGGGTGGTCTGGCTCGCTGACTTATCAAAACGTTTTGGGACACATGTGCTTCGAGGTCTTTTTTGTCTTCTTTGTAGAAGGGGCCGGTATATGGTGCAAAACAGGCGAAAACGAAAAGTATTACTTGTCATTTCTGCACAATTTGTCATATCTTGAGACCTTGTTTCGGTCCAAAAATCATTTGAATCCGAGAAAAAGTTTTATTTAGGTAATAGAGCAGATCCGGGGTAGAATAGGTCTTCAGCAACCCATGCTTGCCGTAAAAGGATAGATGGATGGATGGTTTGTTGTTTAACGCAGCACTCAGCAATATTCCAGCTATATGACGGCGGACTGTAAATAATCGAGTGATTGATATCATGAGCTTCGATGACATGCATCAAACAAGTCAGCGAGCCAGACCACCCGATCCCGTTAGTCGCCTTTTACGACAAGCATAGTCGCCTTTTACGGCAAGCATGGGTTGCTGAAGACCTATATTCTACCCCGGAATCTTCACGGGTCTGCCGTAAAAGGCGACTATGCTTGTCGTAAAAGGCGACTAACGGGATCGGGTGGCCAGGCTCGCTGACTTGGTTGATGCATGTCATCGGTCCCAATTACGTGGATCGATGCTCATGATATTAATCACTGGATTGTCTGGTCCAGGCTCGAATATTTACAGACCGCCGTCATATAGCTGGAATATTGCTGAGTGCGGCGTTAAACAACAAACAAACAAACCTATTTAGATGTATTCAGTATTTTATTACCAGATCATGATTACTCTCAAAATATTAAAATTCTTGGCAAATATTCCCAAAAGCCAAGCCTGAACAAATAACTGTGCCAGTCGAGTCCCAAGATGTTCTGCAACACCATGTTGATGACAAGAAGTTCCTATTCCAGCAAGTGTCCAGTGTACATGGTGTATTCTGATGGTCACAGAAATCATTTACAGAACCAGTACTTCAGATAGGACTTTAATATGTTTACAACTGTAGACACAACAAGAGCTGTTCTTTCATAGGCAATGTATTGCTTGACCACAAAATATTCAAAGAAATCTGAAGATCTGTTACAGTCCGAGATGCTTTCTTCCCCAAACATGGAAAGCTGGGTCCAACTGCAAAAGATAGATAACTCTTATGAGAACATATAACATATACTTCTTAAAACCAACATCAAGATATAATAAATAAATTAAGCATGTACATTGTATCTTCAACTGAATATTCTAAACAAATGCTAAATGGGGTTGTAATGATCAAGTCTATTCACGTTATACAGAATGCATTTAAGTGAGGTCACCTTTCAGAGATCTTAAAAACAAACACTGCACTTACGAATTAGATTAATAGTTTGTTTGTGAAAGATTTAGTGTACATAACATTATCATCATGATATTGGCACATATCTTCTTTTTTTCTTAATACCAGTGACCATATCTATTTTATTATGGTCTCTGTTAACACAGGCACCCCTATAAGTCTCTTTGAAAAAACGTTATTACTCAGATAGAGTACAAATATTGACAAAAAATCATAACAATTTATATTGCCAACATGCACTCAATAGGCCTTCTTATGACTATAGTTTGTCATCTCCCATAGACCCATAACTATAATTCTGTGTTATTGCACTCAGTGGATCGATGCTCATGCTGTCAATAACTGGATTGTCTGGTCCAGACTCGATTATTTACCGACCGCCGTCATATAGCTGGAATATTGCCGAGTGCGGCGTTAAACAACAACCAACCAACCAACCAACCGGTGTACTGTGTCTGAGTGGGGTATTCATGTTATACTGCGGCATGGTATCTCAGTGGGCTAGCATTATAAATTGGCATCAGTCCATTGGCATCAGTCCAGACAAGTACAAGCACACGCGCATGCACGTCGCTATATAAGGGCAATAATCTTGGACGCGACGTTAAACCCCATTTCACCACCATTGTACTGAAAAAGATTTTACATTACATGCCAACAACTGTTTCGGGTCCATAAGAACAGGTATCAACCTATGTTGATGGATCTCATGTAAGCCACATATCACCATAAACATCCATACCGTACGTTGGATTTTTCTTGAGGGGTATAGCAGCAGCTTTCCAGTTTCTGCTCTTAGGATAGAAGACACTCCATTTCTCTTGTCCAGTCTTGGTGTGTACATTGTGCCGACTACCATTCTCATTGAAGTGGAGTGCTGACATCAGCAACTTGTTCCAGTATTCTTATCGTCACAAATTGATTGTAATTACATCATTGATTGTTGTATATATCATGATGTACACACAATATGGTAATGGTATATAATAACATTGTCAAGACTTTCTGATGTCAAGCCTGTGGGAACTATATGCTCCAATTGTCTGGAGTCTACTGCCAGTCGCAGCCTACACATTGCAATTACTGCAATGCCAGACTTTACCATTGTCTCTGTGTAGGATTCTGCAATCATTAACTCCTCTATAAATTTGAGTCAAGCTGGCTATGAGTTCTCCTAGCGAATGTTTCCTGGGAAATATCTTTCATGACATAGTTTTATTTTTCTTTCTTTTCAAGCGTCACAGTACATACATTGCCTCCACTCCATTGTAATGATAATGGTAAAATTTGGGAGCAAAGTGGCATATCACGCTATGGAATCCTTCAAGATGTGATGTCTGCCCAGGGGGTGACAGTTTAGCCACATCTTTAAGAAGATATTTGGACTTAAGGATACTTTAAATCTCCTTGTGCCCTGGAGAACATAATATATTAGTAAAATATAAACATTTTTGACATTTGTATACTTATCCTGCATTACTTCTTAATGTATCTACTGCGGTTTTCTGACAGAAAGACGAACTGTGTGAGATCCATCTGCTGAAGAAAAGTTGTTCCAAACAGTAGAGGCAGCACCCTCCACAGTCGGCAGGTGACCCGGAAGTTATGATGTCACATCAAAACACGTAACTGCTTGAAATGTAACATCTGAACCGTCGTGGGGAGGCAGTGAAGGGGCAGCACTAAAATATATTTAGATTTTACGATTTTTTTTAACTTATCCTGCATTACTCCTTAATGCATCTTTTATCAGACGGCATGGCAGGTGGGCCTACCTTCAGATGTGATCCTTAAGAAACCCTCATCAAGGTCCAATGAAGCCGCACCGCATACAAGTGATGACCGGAACATCTACGGCCATTGCTGTCCAAGGAAACGAGAGTCGATTTAAAAATGAGAACCCTGATAGGTGACAGAAATAGAAAAAGGCGGGTCGCCAAAGACTAGAACTGACCTGGGGGTTATTCTCCGTTGATGGCGACCAGATATGTGGATGTGGTAGGGCCTTTCAGGGTGTGCTGCGCAAGTAAAGAAGGAACCCATCCAGGAACTGCCGTGGCGCTGTCATCGGATCCTGGTGTCTGTCTGAGCAGAATGCATGGATCGAGCACCATTTATCATTTTACAGTCCCTGTGCAGAGCCTTGGCTGCTCTAGCCGAATAGTTCTTGGCTCCTTATGCTTTCTGCAGATGTGCGAGGCGTGCAGACGAAACTGTGCGGGGTTCGGATGTGGTAACAGGCTGTGTGGGTGGAACCCTGAGGAAGTCAAATGCCACAGCGGCCGGATCCGGCACCGGTGAAATGTAAGACGACATGCAGCTGTCATTTCTGAGATATGGCGAACAGATCGATGTTTGGGGTGTCAATCGTTTGGGAGATCCTGGTGAAAACTTCTGGGTAGATTGTTGTAAGAGGCCACTAACGGGATCGGGTGGTCAGGCTCGCTTGGTTGATGCATGTCATCAATCCAAACGGCGTGGATCGATAGTCATGATATCAATCACTGGATTCTCTGGTCCACACTCGATTATCTACAGACCGCCGTCATATAGCTGGAATATTGCTGGGTGCAGCGTTAAACAACAAACCAAATCAAACCAAACCTCATACTGTGTGACACGGTCACATGTTTCCGGTGTACACTGGACAGCGACTGTAATCAGGATGTAATCAGGTTCTTCTGAGTACCCATTGACCTGACTGAGGGCATCAGAGTCTGGCATGACTTGCTTTGACACTACACATTTGAAAGATATGGTACAAACATTCACAAGTTTGTCATCTATGTCAATCACAAAAATTCAACAATATCACATTATCAATTAACTATATGTTAGTTATTCATAATATTATGAATGAATAGAAAAAGTACATACGTCCTATTTTAAAAATTATCTTTGTATCGGAAAATATGCCTCTAATAAAGCTATTCTTGGTGAAACTGGACGATTAAATACGTTCGTGTTTAGCAAAATAAGGGTACTTAAATACTGGTTGAGATTGCTACGTATGAATCAATGTCGATATCCAAAACAATGTTACAATCTACTTAAACAGTTAGATGATAATGATAAACACACCTGGGTGTCTGATGTAAGATATATTTTGTTTTCTTCAGGCTTTTTATTTGTATGGATCTCTCAACATATTGGCGATGAAAATCTCTTTTTGCTAAAAATAAAACAAAGGCTGAGGGATATGTATACTCAAGAGTGGCATGACTCTATTTCTTCATCAAAATATCTGTCACATTATGCAAATTTGAAATCACTTTTACAGCCAGAATTTTACATCATTAATCTCACGAATAAATCACTCAGGAGAGCATATTATAAATTCAGAATATCGCTACACGGTTTTAAGATTAACATGCTACGAAAGTCAAAACATACAAATGAAGACTTGAGTTTATAGCTATGTACCCACTGTACAGGGAGGCAATTAGAGGATGAATTTCATGTTTTGTTTATATGTTCAAAATATTCTTCTGTCAGAAACCACTATTTGCCTTGGTTATCCAATGTCCATCATGATAATCACAGTTTATGTAATCTACTCAACTCCAAAAATATCAACATTGTAAAGGCTTTGGCCTTATACTTAAATCATGTATTTAATGTGAAATAAGACTACTTGTATTTATTTTCCTGACATCACGTGACGCAGCAATTATTGTAATTGTAATTGTACTCTAGGCCACATGGCCCAAAATACTGAATAAAGAATCGTGAATCTTGAATCTTGAAATCTTGAATGTTAGTTATTGGTGTATAAGTGCATCAAAGTTATGTATTTATTCAAAACTGAACCAAAGACGTGTACAGAGAGTATGTACGTATTTTCAGAAGTATGAGAATGATCAGTTAATGCTAAATCAGTCTAATCATGCTAAATGACTTCCGTGTAGTTTGTTTTGTTGTCGCTAAATAACTTACGGAAATGAGATGGTTTGTGTCAGTTCCTGCATCTGCTGACCTATCAGAGGGACGTATATGTAAGTTGTTTCTCTGACGGTCCCTCACCACACTGACTGCCCGCGGGCATTGATGGGTAGTGATATTCATATACACTGTTATCGCTCGTGAACGTGAACGACTGTAAATTACAAACAAACAACACAATCGATGAAGTTCGTTACGTAAACATTACTTACCACATATATGTCAACCATCAAAATCACAAAACCGGACAGCAAACTGTAGTACTGCGGTCAGCTGATCACCGAATATCGACGTCAACGTGAAACCAGGAAGTGAACAGGTGAACGACAGACAGAAAGACATGTTTATTCAGTAAAAGGCCAATGGCCCAAAATACAGACATGTGAGCATGACATTTACAGGGCACAGAATTTATCATTAATTATTTTGTGAGCATAATATAAGAATTTACAAACTAGAAATAATGTTTGCTCATTATAATTACTAAGAATATTTATTACATGAGAATTACTGTAATGAGTAGGCATAGGAAGATTAACAAGGTTTTTTTGTCTTAGGGCAGAATATAAATTACAATTAAAGAGTACATGGAATTCATCCTCAATGACATTAACTCCCTTACTACTACAATAGTTACAGAATCTGAGTGAACGGCCTGTTTTACTATATCTGCCAGTTTATAAAGCTATTTTAAAATTTGAACATCTGAATTTAGTAAAAACAATTCTTAAATGGGTAGGGAGTGGACATGACAAGGTGAACGAGACGCACGTCTCGCATGACTAATTATATAGTGAAACTATGAACTTTATTCCTGCGTTAAACAGCTACCTTACATGCTACCGTGTTTAGATTTTATAAGATATTTCATTCATCAAACGTACCTGAAATGCTACGACTTTACGACGTTTGTTTACAAAAACACTCCAGTCAGGGTCTTGATGGGACTGCTGTCCCTTGATCCCGTTTCCAAATCAGGATGGTACAGCACCCGGGCGCAATTGCTTCCGATCAGTCGAACAACTGGAAGGTATTGCTCGCGAAACACGACAGTTATTGTCAAAGTGAGCATCACAAACGCGAGATTCACACAACGGACCGTTCCATCTATCATTGTGAATCTTACAGTACTTTTTCAATTGTTGTCTTCTCGGTGTCAATTTTGGGAAACGAAAATATTATTAACAAATTTTAGAATAATTTTTCTTATCGTTGTAATTTGAACAGTGAGGAACCGAACAGTATACCATGTTCAAATCTGCGCATCTGAGACGCTAGAATCAAACACATGTACCTCCACCACGTGAAGCGCTTCTATTAAAGCATAATGACGTCATAATGTGTATCAATTGGCACCAATGACGTCATATTGCAAGGGACATAAGCCATGGTGTTTTATAATATGCAAAGAGAACATTTGGTAAATGTCAAAAATATAAATCGTTTTAATGCATAAAAATATGTTAATGAATTGTGATATTTTTATACTTTTTGTCAACGACACAAATAGGTGAACACTTTTAATGTGGCAAAAGTACCCAAAAAATAAGTTCATTTTCGTGATTTTTGCCCTTTTAACAAATAAAATATACGAACTCAAGGCTAATGGTCCAGTCAGAAGCAATGCTGGACAGTTGTTTAACTGATATTCTATTAATGTCATAAGTCTGCATATAGTTTTCGCAAAAACATTCAGTAGTGTATATTGTAAATTGAGTGAGTGAGGTGGGTTTAACGCCGCTTTTAACAGTATTCCAGTTATATCGCGGCGTGTCAGCTTAATGTGGGAGGAAAGCCCGAAGTGATGCAGGCCTCAGACGTTTACCACTTCGGTGAAACCCACGAGCTGGGTATGGTGCTGACAAACCTAGAAACATAATCGGGGCGAACCGGGATTCGAACCCACGATCATAGGTTTCTGGCTTGCCAAAGAGACGCAACTCTGCACAGCGAATCGCGGCGCCTTAGACGACTGGGCCACCCGTGCCCCCTATTGTAAATTTTAATGTCATTGTATTTATTCCATCCATTTCCTGACTAGGCATCTCTATCTCGTTCTCTCTCTCTCTCGGGTGATCAGTGTGTAAACATTAAACGACAACAACACAGAATAACTTTTCTCCATTATCCGCTGAGAGAGATTCCTTTGGGCGTAAAGGGTAACACAGCCATGGAACATGTATGAATTTCGCAGCTGCTTCAGATGCTGTGTTTACGTTTGTAAATATTGATTAAAACAACATTTCTATTGTAAATAAGGGGCGGTCGGGTAGCTTAGTGGTTAAAGCGTTCGCTCGTCACGCCGAAGACCCGGGTTCGATTCCCGACATGGGTACAATGTGTGAAGCCCATTTCTGGTGTCCCCCGCCGTGATATTGCTGGAATATTGCTAAAAGCGGCGTAAAACCATCTTCACTCACACTACTGTAAATAATTACAGATATCAGCTTCTACTCACACAGTCAATACAACACTCCCTTATGGGTCGTTCAGTGTGCTTTTGACAAACATGTGCGTCGATAATCGACACAGCGTTTGTTCATGGGAATCTTAAATAAACAAGGCGCACCAGTTCCACATCATGGATTCAACTTACGTCGAAGGATATAGTAATCGATGTAACTATCATCAACCATTGTTTTAAGCCAACTCAGTGATGAGTATTTTTTAATATTGGCTAGTATTGTGCACAACCACCAGTGGCTAAAGTGATGACGTAAATCCTGCTGGGGTATCATGCAGGAAGCAGAAGTACTGTAAGTCCCCATGATCCCCAGCGAGGTGGCCTAGGTTTGGTTACTGGTGGCCGTGTTTTAAAATGTATTAATGATATTGTTAAAATATGTTTCATCAATTGTTTTTAAATATAGTATGCTCCAATATGTTTCATTAATTGTTTTTGAATATGACATTGCATAAATAACTAAATTGTGTATACATTAACTTGGTCTCGTCGCTACATGGCTGAAATAATGCCGATGCGACGTTAAATTTTAACTCACTCACTCACTCACTTACGTCGAAGGGACGTTATATTTAGAATTATGGGGTCTCATTAGTTTGGACACTTATCATACATTTTACCTAATGACTATTTGGTAATATCTTACATTCAAATTCTAACGGTCATATTATACATTGATACATGACGTCTGTTAAATTGAATATGTGTTTACAAACGACTACTTTTAATCCATGTACACGTTTGATTGATGCTATGGTGTATGTGAACATTTACAAAGTACGCAGTTCACCGCCCAGCGTCAAAGAGACAATAACTGACCGTGAAAGCAAAAAAAATTATTTCACTGACATAAAAATATTAAGAATGGCAATTGTTAAATTTAACACACTTGCTAACTATACACTCACTCGCTCAGTCTCTAGCTCACACACTCATGTGTACACACACTCGCGCACTCACTCGCATTCACACACATGCAGATACGCAAAAGAAATATAAATTCCGATTCTGTACCTCAAAGTTGAATTCGAATTTAGAAATATCTTCGACATGTATTGCTTAGACATAACATTCTCGTATCCCAAGTAGGTCAATCAAGTCATGACGGAATTGGATTAAACTACCGAGAAATGAAGCCCGGGCCTTGGGCGTGACGCTCTATCGCTTGTCTAGACTAAATTGTGGTAAACTTATAGGGTACCAGAATTAGGCTAATTGGTATTCTGAGAAAACTAAATGTATTAAAAGCCTACTTTAATTGTCGTATTACTCAAATTTCAGTATATACTGAAAAGGATTGGGTTTTTTGTTTGTTTAAACAATATTCAAGCTAGATGACGGCGGTCTGTAAATAATTGAGTCGTAATAGGCGACTGACGGGATCGGGTTGTCAGGCTCGCTGACTCGGTTGATGCATGTCATCGTATCACAATACTCAGCTGGAATATTGCTGAGTGTGGCTTTAAACAAACAAACAAACAAACAAGTAATCGAGCCTGTACCAGACGCATCAGTCACAAAGAAATTATTTCTGATGTAATTCGCTACTTAGACTTGTACCATATGTTCCCGTGTTTTTCATATGAACAATAGATTTGCCTCTGTCACACGTCGTCTGGCTGTCCTACATGAAAAGTTTGTAGTTGTTCCCTGTGACAAGGCCTCAAATAACATAATCACTATATGTAAGCACCACTACATTAATTGTAAGATCAAAGAACTTGGTATGAGTGACGTGCCACATGTACATCCAGGATGTTAACTGAGGAAGAAATCTGCCCAAACCATGCAACATTAAGACAGTGTTCGAAATACCTGCCTGCCCGACCGTCCGAGACGGGTTGATTTCAACTCGGGCTGCCAGATTTTCAAATCCCCCTGCCCGACGGTCGGGTTATATTTCATATGTGACAATATTCTAAATATTTCCCGATAATAATCATTAATTCACATGTAAAGATGAATGATAAAATGTAACCAAAAAGAAACCCCGTTAGCTTATCCTGAGAAACATATGATTATAGTGGGCAGGCAGGTTTTGGTCAGGGCTGGCAAGTATTTCAGGTAGCCAGTCCTGTGGTCTGGCTGAAATTTTTGGGAGTTTCATACCCTGATTAGGACATGTTCACTCCTTGATTGTACTGGAATTCAAAGATATCGCAGGGTCCCCCAAATGTACCACCAAATGTAATCATTAATACAATCAAGGAAGTACTTTCTCTATATACACAGAAAGTAGTTAAGACAAGTGGAATTAATACCATGTGGATTCTCAAGAACTCAACGATTTTGTTTGATTCTATACAATATCAGAAAAGAACCAGGTTCCATTCTGTCCAAAACATCTGATTTTCAACTTTGTACACCACTATCCCACATGAAAAGCGTAAGGGAAAACTTCATTCCTTGATCCATGGGGCTTATGTTACAAAACGTAGTGACCGTAGATATAGTGTCAAAAATAAACCCAAACGCAATCTGAAGTTTACTGAGAAAGCACTATGTGAAATTCTGGACTTCCTCATTCAAGACATTTATGTAGAAGTTGGGGGCAAGACATTCCGGCAAAAAGAAGGCATCCCCATGGGTACCACTTGTGTTCCCCTTCTTGTTCCTCTCTTTCTGTATGCATGTGAATCAGAATTACTGCTCGGATTGGCAAAGTTAAAACAAGGCATTGGCCAAGACGTCTAACTTAAGCTTCAGATATATCGATGATCTGATATTGTTCAATAACCATCAAATAGCCTGAACTAGAAATATATGAGACCAGTTCATCTGTTCATATTTAGATTTATGCATAAAGATTCAGAATCACAATAAGAATTACTTCAGCTTTTCACAAGTCAACTTTGGTGTCTACATTTCACAACATTTGAGGTACAATCGAGCATGCTCAGGAATTGTTTCATCAAGGTGACAACATTCAAGGCCTCAGTAAAGCTTTCAAAACGTTTTATGGTAGACATGTGAAGGACATTTCCAAACTTAGGCAGTGAAAAAAACTGCTGCCCGATGCAACTCCCGATTTTGACTTGTACTATAAGTTCCCGTATTTTTTCACGTGAACAGTTGACTTGTCTTTACATGTGTTTGTGATGAGTGCCACCGGTGGAGCGGGTTATTCTCACCTTTTCGCGAACACATGGTATCATCAATTGGCAGAGATTTCTGATGAATATGGAAAGGGTTTTGCCGGTTTTTTTTACTTGTGATGGTGCCACAGGTGGGGCAGGATACGCTTAACTTTTCGCAAACACATGGCATCACCACTATTTGATAGTGATTCATAAACACATGCTTACGACAGAAAAGGAATCGTGCAATGGGCTCTGCCTTTACCAGAGCTTTTGTTTGAATAGAGAAATGGTTTTGGTGCTTTTAATTATTCAGTTATTGTTTGTAAGATTTAAAAAACGGTTTCAACCTGTGCCATGATAATGAACGTGTTTTGGGTCCAGTGGCGTATAGTATATAGTGTGCACAACGTCGAAACTGGGGTAATCGTCGCTGGTCACGTGTCATGTTTTCAGATGAGTCCCGATTCACTTTGCACTTCCTTAAAACGGCGTAGTCGTGTCTGGCGACGTCGAAATGAACGTCAAGCCAATGTCAACCTGACACCCGATGACAGATTTGGCGGGGAATCGTTTATGGTGTAGAGTGGTATCACTATGAGTGAGCGAATCCCACTCCATATTGTGCAAGGAATAAAGGTTGACGTTTTGTCTTTCAGAACGACACCGCCCACGCCTACCGTGCATGAAGAGTCAATGCTCACCTCCAACAGCACAACATTCATTGAATGCCGAGTTCCTCCAATGCACACGTCATGGGCCGTCGACCACGTAGGCTGAACTTGGCCAGGCGCTGCAAGAGGGATGGGTCAGACTTCGTCAAATCGAAATAGGGAGACTCATACGCAGTATGCCTCGTCAAGTGAATGAATGTTTGACACATCGTGGTGGAATTACGCCATACTGATCCTAAAAAGTCCAGTTTGAAATTTCCCATCTTACCCCTATCGTTACCCCTATGTTGGCGGGCACAACATCTTAGGTCATACTACACAACTAGATGTAATGTATTCCAATTCATTCAATACTTATTTTATTATATTATTTTATTCATTCATACAACTATTACTAGAAACTAATATCGCTAACTATTTTGAAGATTTTATGTTATGTACGAGTATGCCCTACACATCAGCGTTGACTTGCAGTTTTATACAATCAAACCATGCTTGTCGTAAAAGGCGACTAACGGTATCGGGTGGTCAGGCTCGCTGACTTGGTTGATACATGTCATCGATCCCAATTGCGTGGATCGATGCTCATGATATCAATCACTGGATTGTGTGGTCCAGACTCGATTATTTACAGACCGTAGTCATATAGCTGGAATATTGCTGAGTGCGGCGTAAAACAACAAACAAACAAACAAACCTTGCAGAAAGGCTGACAACCTGTTGGAAGGATGTGTCCAAAGCTGATGGTATTCCAGATATGGATACATTATTCTGTCCCAGAATATCCCACACTACCTCTGATGTGGCACTCAAAGTAGGGCATAGGGATGTTACTTACATTAAGAAAATTGAGAAAGTGCAAAATAATACTTAAGTATCAATTGATGACAACCTTACAATTTTATAAATCTTTATATGCACATTCATCATATAACATTAGAATTGCTTTTATTGCATGTAATTGATTTATACCCACTTGGATGTCCCACTTCTTCTGCATTAGATCTATGCTTTAAACAACAAACCAACAAACCAAATCATTGGATAAAAGTATCAGTTAATGCATCATATGAACCCGAGAATTATTTTATTTGGTCCAACCATAGTTTGATGTTATCGACATTTGTCAGGAGTTTAGTCAATAACTTGGAATAATGTTGGCACTTGTATCTGATAGGCTAAGCCTCCAGATTGATCAATTTGTATTCCTTTGTAGTTATTGAGGAATGTTATTCATTAACCAAGATCTCTTCGGATGATCATTTGGCTTGAAACTGAAGGGAAAGTTGGAACAGTATCACGGTTATTCATACGGAAAATGGAATCACTAAGCATATTGGCTATTGCCACCATGCTCTTTGTTTTTGAAATAATTGCTGGCGATCATGCCAGGAGTATCTCTATCGAAATGTATTCTGAGTGTACTCAGTTCGTCTCTCCCATGAATGAGACTGTAGTTCAAGACATACTTAGTGTTACCTCGTGTGCTGTTCAGTGTGCCCCAGACACCAGGTGTGTGGCTTTCAGCGTGTCTGCAACTGATGACATATGTATGCTTCATCGTGAGATGTTCCTGACAGGAATCTGCTACACTGGCGAGTGGTACTTTTACAATGTAAGTAAACATTTTCCATAGTTTAGTTGGGGCGGTCGGGTAGCCTGGTGGTTAAAGCATTCGCCCGGGTTCGATTCCCGACATGGGTACAATGGGTGAAGCCCATTTCTGGTGTCCCCCGCCGTGATATTGCTGGAATATTGCCAAAAGCGGCGTAAAACCATACTCACTCACTCACTCACTCCGATGGTTTAGTCACATTCATAGTGCGTGCGTGTGTGGGGTTACGTGGTGTGTTTTCCGTTCATATCGTGATTGTACCTTCACTGGGTGGATGGCACCTATATTCAACGAGCATACGTATAATTGTGAAAACGGCGCATGTAATATCCGCCTCATGTGCTACTTATCATCAGACTTAAAGCACTGTTCAACCGTATGTTGTGTAAATACAACAATAAAAGTGTAAAAACATTTTTTCCATAATCATAAAAAATTATTTGCTTAAAGCAAAGTTCATAGTACGATTACGACCATACCATCTTTCTTTTCTTTCTTTCATTCTTTGTCTAACGCCGCACTCGGGAATATTTGACCTGTATGATGGCGGTCGGTAAATAATCGAATCTGGAACAGACAATCCTGTGATTGACATCATGAGCATCGATCTTCGTAATTGGGATACGATGACATTCATTAAACCAAGTCAACAAGCGTGACCACCCGATCCATTTATTTGCTTTACGACAAGCATAGTCGCCCTTTAGGGCAAGCATGAGTTGCTGAAGACCTATTCTAGCCCGGATCTTCACAGGTTGACCATATCATAAGATAATGTTTTTGAACCACCTAATAGTGATACTAGGTGTTTGCATAAAGTTGGGAATTGCATCTCACATCATTTTGTCACTTTTGGTCAAGTTTGACCCGTGAAGATTCCGGGGTAGAATAGGTCTTCAGCAACCCATGCTTGCCGTAAACGGTGACTATGCTTGTCGTAAAAGGCGACGAACGGGATCGGGTGGTCAGGCTCGCTGACTGGGTTGATGCATGTCATCGATCCCAATTGCGTGGATCGATGCTAATGATATCAATCACTGGATTGTCTGGTCCAGACTCGATTATTTACAGACCGCCGTCATACACAACAATACTGAGGCTTGTTTATTTTAACAATTGGCTTACCGCCTTTCCACTCGTCAGAGTGAACACATAAACTGGAATTGCGGACTGGATTGTCGGAGCACTCTCACCCCTGGCGTTCATGAAGAACCCCGTGGTTAGTGCTGGTAACGCTAACCACTCTTCCCCCGTGTGTCGTTCAAGGCGGCAAAATTGGGCAGCCCGTTTGCCGTTGGTTGCGTCCCTGTGTCGGCGGAGGACAGTAGTCTGGTGGTTGAGGGCTCTGGTTCCAGGAATAGCGTTCCTTTGCCCAATACACCACTTCGACCCTTACTTCGCCTAGACATGTGGTAGGATTGGCTGGTCATGTCGAGCCCTGTGCTTTATTTGTTTGCACAAAAATGTCATTCAAATTTCCTTTATACCTAGGTCTTGACCAATTGTTTATGTAACAAAATTTGAATTTTTAATTGACAACTCATTCACATGCCTAGAGTCGTATGCCCAGAAGGCGGTGGCTCGTGGGCCAAGCTGGTAGGCTAAATAATTTTACTTAATTCGTCTGCTTGAGTTTACCATTCCAGTATCCTTGGTGCTGCCAGTTGGAGAAACACTGGCTTATAGCATTGTCCCTGTGATACTCAGTGGTGGGTGGGGTGCTGGGATTGTGAACCATATACAAACTCAAAATGGCACAACCAAAAAACATGTAACGTTCTTTGGAAGATTCCTCGGATGAGGAGACTACCATCCTGAAGTGTTTTTCAGGTAGTTGGTCTAGATCTTTAGTGGTTTCCGCCACTGATGGTACACCTTTGACATTGAATCTCATAAAACTCTAGGGGGCACGGGTGGCCCAGTCGTCTAAGGCGCCGCGATTCGCTGTGCAGAGTTGCGTCCCTTGGGCACGCCAGAAACCTATGATTGTGGGTTCGAATCCCGGTTCGGCCCGCTTATGTTTCTAGGTTTGTCAGCACCATACCCGTGCTCGTGGGTTTCACCAAAGTGGTAAACGTCTGAGACCTGCATCACTTCGGGCTTTCCTCCTGACACGCATCCCTGCCACATCTGTCATGTTTGTTGAATGTCAGACAGATATAACTTGGGTCTCAGCGATCTATTCTGTTGTACAATCCAGTTCATCTTCCCAAACAGGTGATATATCACCATCAGCTCCAGTGTCAACTCACAAGGCAACAGCACCGACACCAACATTGGCACCAACGCTAGAACAAGCATTAAAACCAGCCCCTGTTAAAAGTGCAAACAAAAATGTTGACTATGCAAAACAATCAGATCGTGTACCAAAGGGTCAGCGTGACCCTATTCAAATACTAGAATATAATCGGTATCAAACCTTGGAGGACATGGATGCCTCTCCACATTCTCAAGGGCGCAATAGATGTAAGTCGCCGCGAAATGGGAGAAATAGATCTCCTGTTCACCCACCCGTAACATGAACTGGTTCAGTGGAATTGCAAAGGTCTCAAGACCAATATTAATTCAAGATTTCACGCCTTCAGCTATCTGTCTTCAAGAAACGTATCTCAAACAGACCGACACCTTTGATTTGTGCCAGTACAGTTCCTATCATTCATTTTCTCCACGAGGTGTTAACACTACTGGAGGATCTACTCTTTTGGTGAAGCAGGGAGTGATCCACAGTCATGTTTAACTTCAAACTCATCTTCAAGCTGTAGCAGTAAGACTAACTTTACACATAACCTTTACTCTGTGTTCACTGTATATTCCTCCCTCCTCTGTGATTTAGAGATCGGATCTTCAATCCTTATATGATCAGCTCCCTAAGCCCTGCATGATCATGGGTGACTTGAGTGAATGAGTGAGTTAATATTTAAAGTCACATCGGCATTGTTTCAGCCATATCGTGACTTGAGCAAGTTATGCATTTATATAATATCTTAAGACCTGTCGTCGAAGGACAGTATAACAAATAGCAAAATATCACAGATTCTAATTGTAAAACTAGTTTTAGATTATAATCCGATTATAACAGACGACACAATATAAAAACGGGCTATTGATCGTCAGCAACTGAAGGAAGACCACCATACTGGGGACCATTGGGACTTACAGTACCTTTGCTACCTGCATGGACCCCAGCAGGATTTACATCATACCCTCAGCAACTGGTGATTGTATGCAAAGTTAGCCACAAGTAAAAATACAAATATTCTACGTTTAAAACACTAGTACCCAGAAATATTCTTTGAATGACATGGACTTACAATATCCTCTCAGGGGGACAATAATTTTTCACTGCGTCAACCCCCTTTGAGGATACGGCCAGTAACAAACTCCGATATAATTTCGTTCTACCATTTTTTAAAAGGTCATTCATTTTATACAATACATATTATCAAAATTTGGTAAACAATTCTATCTCTTTTAAAAACCCAGTAACTAAATGAGAATTAATATCATAAAAAAGATCCTTGAGAGATGATGATTTGAAATATTTATCCCTTGTGATGGCAAAATCAATACAGTCAAGCAGGACATGCTTGACCGTGATTCTCTCATCACAAGGGATACAAAATGGACGATATTCGCCTTTCAACAAATATTCGTGAGTATATCTACTGTGGCCAATACGACATCGTCGTAAAATGACCTCTTCAAATCTGGACTGACAACCCAAGTAGGTGTAACCGATATTTGGCTTAATTTCATGTAATCTATTGATACCTACTTGAGTGTCCCACTTCTTTTGCATCAGATCACGGATGTAAGATCTAATAATAGGTTTATAATCACTGTATGGGATAAGAAGTGGTGTCACAGATTTGTTGAGTGCTGCTTTAACACCAGCATTGGCCATCGTGTTACCAGTGATACCAACATGGCTTGGTAACCAACAAAAGACGATGTCGTACTGGCCAGCAGCAAGATCATAAAATAACTCAAGAATTTCAATTAAAATGGATGTTTAAAAGACATATTTTTAATAGCCTGAAGGCACGAGAGTGAATCTGACAAAATAATGAATTGTTTATATTTTGATTGGTTCTTGACATATTTTAGAGCCGTTAAATTTGCGTGCGCTTCTGCTGTGAAGATTGAACTTTTATTGGGTAATCGTGAAGATACTGTTCTTGATCCAATGACAGTGGCACTAGCAACTGCGCCACCATCCTTGGATCCATCTGTAAATATAGATTTATAAGTGTCGTAAGTGTTTCTTAACTGATGATATTCTTGTTGGTAAATTAATTGGTTAGTATCTGATTTCTTTAGTTTTGTTAATGTAAGGTCTACCTCTGGCTTGACCATTTGCCAAGGAGGAGATGAAAAAAGTTGATTAGGAGCTATATCTTGGAGTTTAATATTAGAGGCTGATATTGCAGATTTTATTCTGATTCCGAGTGGTGGAGTGCGTGTTGATTTCTTATTGTAGAGATCTTCGTGGAGAGGATTGAATATGCATTCAAAAGCTGGATTCGACTGATTAGAATATAATTTAGTTATGTATTGTAAAGATAGTTTTAGACGGCGTTGTTTAAGAGAAGGCTCATCTGCTTCTATTATAGACTGTGAATGGGAGACGTTCTAAAGGCTCCAAGGCAAAGCCTCAGGCCCTGATGATGTATAGTATCTAGTTTTTGTAAATTACTTTTGCAGGCTCCACCATAGACGATGGAGCCATAATCAAGTTTTGTACGGATCAGTGATCTATACAAGTGTAAGAGGGTTGTTTGATCCCCTCGCCACTTTGAATTTGAAACTACTTTCAATAAGTCGAGTGCCTTCAGACACTTAGCTTTTAGGTATTTAATATGTGGGAGGAAAGTTAAATGGTTATCAAAAATAAGTCCCAAGAACTTTGCCTCCTTCACCACTTTGATAGGGGTGCTATTTAAAAATAGCTCAGGGTCTTTATGCGGTTTATATTTCCTCCAAAAATGTATGCAGTTAGT